ATACACCCTTCTCAAATAAATATAGTGGAGAAGCAACCAAAACATTAGTCTAGGAAGAAGGACGATAGGGGTGGGGCTACAGGGATACCACTACAGGGTGAGAAGGCCTTTCCCACTGGCTGGGATGAGGCCAGGAGTAACTGATGAATGATACCAGTAGAAAATCTTAACTTTCTTGGTTTCAAGAACCAGGGTTCTACCTTCCCAATCAGGAGCTTTATCACCACAACACCGAGCAACCCCTACCTCACCCCCAGGGATATTTCCTGCTATGCACCCAGTTACCACAGATGCTTTAGCATGAGGGGAACAGATATCTAGCGGGGCCAACCCCTGCAGAGGTGCCTCTATCCGACCAGGACTGGGGCACAGTAGAGACAGAAGTGGTCAAAAGCAGGACCCAGGAATGGTCTTCCTGAGCTGCTTCCTGGGAAAAGGCTCATACGCACCGTTGATGGTGAGATGGACCCAGCTGCCATTGTGGAAGGTATCATACTGCTGGTCCAGCATGAGCACTTTGCACTCGTACCAGCCCTGGTCCTCCGAGCGGACCTGCTCCAGGCGCAGCGAGGCTTTATCATGAAGACTGGCCCGGCCTAGGGACAGAGTGGGAAAAGGAGGCCCAGATGCCATCAGGCAGCCAACAACTCATCATTCCCCTCACCCCCAGCCAAAGGCAGGACACTGCCATAACCATTGCCCCATGTCCCATGGCAAGGCCCCCACCCACAGAACAACTGGCACCAACCTCCAGCCTGGCCACCAGCCACTCTCCCTGCGCAGATCCCCAGCCCCAACTGGCCCCATCCCAGACTACCTCTGCAGTTCCATGAGTTGGAACTGAGAAAAGCCTCAGTTCTTAAGATAACTCCAGTTCTTTGGGAGAGCTCTTGAGAGAAAGGAAATAATGGATACAGAGCCGAGAAGAGGCAGGAGAGAGAGAAGGTATGGACAGAAGAGGGTAAAGTAGAGAAGCCCCAGGCAAGGCCCAGAGCATCTTCACTAAGTGGAACAACATCCCTGTCTTATCTGTGTCCCCATGACCCCAGCATCCTGCCTCTGTCTGACTCCCCAGTGGTAAGGACAGAAGGAAGCAGCCTAGGGATGCTAGCATCCCTTTCCAGTTTGCCACCACTGCTAGAGAGACTGCATATCTTGCCACAGCCCAGTGACTGCAAAGGTGGAGAGCAGCAGGATTTGCAAAGCTCAAGAATGGGGAGAGGAATAGCAGGCAGCAGAAAGACTCCCAAAGGCCCCTTCGATAGCTCTATCCCTTTCCATGTCCACATTTGTACCTGCCCTCTTTGGCTCCCTCATGGCAATGAGTGGAGAAGGTTTCAACATAAGTCAAGCAGGACTGGAACTAGCCTCCCCCTTTCACTCTATCAATGAAACATAACAGTCCACCCCCTGCCAATGGGGCTTCCTTCTACCTCATCTACTGCCCCAGCCCACCTGCCTCCCAAGCCTGCATCATGACCTGGCCCACTTCCCTCCTTATCTGGACACTGACAGTGTTCCTGTAAACTAGACCATCAGCTGCAGTGTAAACAGAGTGCAAGGAACAAGAAGAGGAGACAAGGAAGTGTGGAGGAGAAACACAATTGGGAAGCCAGGCAGCCAGAGTAATGATAAAAGTGATGTGTCTTGCCTGCTTCCTCCCTTCTTTTAAACCCCAACACATACAAACATACACACACAGACATCTACACCCAAGCACAGTCTTCCCCAACCCACAGCACTCTTCCCTGGCAGTGAGTCATGGACAGTGAGACCACGGCTCTCAAGAGTAATTGCAGAGCAAGATTCAAACGGGGCCAGGAGGAGGGGGAGGATCGAGTGGCAGGGGAGGCACAGAAGGCAGGCGCCTGCCAGTAGCCAGGAGGCATTGGGGAAGGGGTGGGGGTGAAGACTGGGCTGGAGGAAGGGGGGTGGCTGGAGATACATACTTACACTAAGGGATGGAACAAGGCCCAAAATCAGAGCCAAGATATTCAGAGTGGGTGAAGCCAGACAGAGCAGACACTGCTGCTGCAGTCAAACCTGGGAAGGGGTGGAACTCGGCCCGGACTCCTTCCCCTCAGAAGCTGCTCTTCTGCCCCCATCCCCACCCCCTCCACTCCAGCAGGCACGGACCTCTTTCTCCCTCCTCTGGCCCTTGCTCCTGTACTCATCTCTCGGGCCCTCTTGTGCTCCTAGTCTGTGCTGTTTAGAAAGGCGTTATGTCTGCAGGTCCTTCTTCTCCCCGCCACTTAATTAAAGCCTACCAAGGCCAAAAGGCTGGAAGGGGGGAAGCAAAGACTGTGAGGCCCGGACCAGTCAGAAAGAGATAAGAAGCCATGGAGATCAAGAGGGAGCAGCGCTTTCTGAGAGCCAGGCAGACACATGCAACACGGGGAGTGGCCAGGGTGCCTGTCAAACTAGGAAGGAGACACCTAGCTGGGCCCCAAAGCTCACCTGCATACTCAGGGTCCACGTGCGGGGGATAGTAGCCAAACTTGATGAAGATGGGAATAGGGACCCCAAACTTGAACCACTCCACGACATAGGGTGGAGGCTGCCCGGTCACCGGGTGGATCACGTCGCATCTCAGGACCACACCCTCTCCAGCACGAGCAGTCACGAACTCGGGTTCCTCTCGCAGTCCGTGGGCGCCTGGCAGGACAGAGAAGTGAGGTAGCAGGGGGAGCCTCCTTTCAGTAGTCCCCTCGGCTTCTCCTCAGCACAGCACCACCCTCACCCCATGGTGTTGCCCCTCTCCCCTCCCCTAGGTGGGCCATCCTGTCACTGACCTCCCCAGGGGATGCAATGACACGGCACCCCACCCCCACCACCGCACCCTGATACACATGCGCGCACGCACACACACACGCTCTGCCCCGTCACAAATCTGAGTATGGAAACAAGAAGAGGAGAGAAGAGTGGCTCCTCGCAGCCAAACCTCCCACCCAGCCCAAAGCCCAGCAGTCCTCAGGGTGGTCTCACCCTTTGACCTACCCCCCCACCCCCCTCCCTGGGCCAAAGGATCAGGGATTGGTGGGGGCAGAGAGAGACGATCAGGTCTGGAGAAGAGTGACTTAGTCTCTTTATGCAGCCCCTCAGCTGCCCAGGGCACTCCCACAAGAGCTTAGAAGAGACAGGAGACAGTCAGCCCTCCCTGTCTGCCCCACCCTGGCAAGGCTTAAGGTTCGCAGTACAGGACAGGTGGGCGGACCACACGTGAAGGCAGGCGGGATCCCCTAACCAGCTAAGCAGGCTGCTCACAGCAACCCCAGGGGGAAACCCTTCAGGCTGGGCACCTCTGTATCCTCCAGCTTGTATCCACTGCCACCAGGGAGAGGAGGCCTGCGTGGGAGGAGCTTGGCCTCTGGATTTCAAGCCTGGTAACCCTGCAGCCACCAGACTGTCAGAGAAGCCTGTCACCACCCTAGGACCACTGGAACAGAGGAGAGGGGCCCTGGGGCTGCTAACCTT